ATTCTGAAATCCTCTTCACATACTGAGCAACATTAGAAAACCCAAAACAAGCAATCAGACAATCCCTGCAGCTACTTTTACATCTAATGTTGATCTTCATGTTTACTGCACAGACATGAAGACAAACTGTGCTGAAGCTCTGGGTGCAGACCTGCTGCTGGCGTGCTCGACGGGAAGGCAGCCGACCACGCTGGAACGTTTTGCAGAGGATTTGAATTTGAGTGCAGTAACGCAACACCGATCATTTGTTTCTGCAAATGTTCCAGTGGTTCTGGGTTTGGGATGCTGTAGAGGGTTGACGGCGCCACCAAGCTGCCACATTTCGTGTGGTTCAGCCTGCACATGTACAAAGGCTGTTCCCCTGGTTAAAGTGTAATAAAAGACATAATAAAGGAGCAGTGCCACCCATCACAGGAGCCCAACGTCTCCTACAGCAGAGTGACGGTGCAGAGCAAGCTTCCACACAAAGCTGTACCTTTAGCGTGAAAAACACACCAATTAAAAGCAGCTAGTCTCTAATGGACTGTGCTTTGGGCACTTTATTCCTGAGCTGCCGTTGTACCGTTGCAGTGATTTTTCTACAATAACGTTTCAGTTGGTGGTAAAATAATGATCCACATGAAGGTTGTCAGCAGAACCTTGAACTGTAATTAATCATATTGTAGGGCACTAACACTAATCATTAAAATAGGGACATTTAAAAGTGCAAAATCTCAACAGTAGTGCTGAAAAATACTCCGTTTACATTCTAAATAATACGGTAGTGTCCTAATTCAGCAATTTCCCTGAGGTACCCTACCAAAGGGATCAATAAAGTTCTATATAATCTTTATAATCTAATCCAATCTGATATTTGAGCCTGTTAGCTGCAGGTTGTTAATGCAAGTCTTGTTTCTCTACTGGAAAAACACTGGACCCAACAGCTGTTGTTCTAAAAGTTGTGTACCAGTAACAAAGACCTGACTGTAGTGCTCATGCTGTGGCTGATGGGTGCAGATTTTACTGACATTTCATGTTAAGAGGAAAACGACGTCCATGAACACTGAGTTTACTGTAAATCCCTTTAACAGCAGGTCTCCTCTAAACGGATTAAACTGCACAGTGCTAAAGTCTGCTCGTTAGGTTGGACACGTTTTGTCTCATAGTTTTAGTCTGACATAACACAAATAAGCCGCCTCCATTTTTAAGAAGGAACTCTTCTCATAGCTTAATGGTAGCAGCTGGACCTGCTTGAGTTCCTTGAAGACGTTCCACCTCCATCCAAGAGGCTTCATCAGCTCTGACTGACTGGTTGGGAGTTCCACATCCTGATATCTTTAAGGAGACATGTGCATTATTGTACCGCAGTCCACCTGCATCTCAAGGACAAAGGACACTCATCTGAAGACAACAACGTCCAGATGTTGGCCTGCAGGGAGGACAGATGGTTTGAGAGAGGAGTGAAAGAAGCCATCTATGTCCAACTGGAGAGACCATCCCTCAGCAGTGGTGGAGGTCTGAGGCATCACCTCTCACCTGTTCAGTCCTCAGATCTCTCCCCAGGAAGATGAACCCACATCCACACCAAGTCACAGAGACCCTAACGAACCCCACTGTGTCAGGAGGAGCACTAATGACTCACATAACGAGGGGGAGGAGCAACAAACCCCCAACTGAAACCTAAACTCAGGTGTTAACGTCTCCTTCAGGATATCAGTATGTGGAACTCCCAACCAGTCAGTCAGAGCTGATGAAGCCTCCTGGATGAAGGTGGAACATCTTCAAGGAACTCAAGCAGATCCAGTTGTTACGATTAAACTACGGAACAACCATGAGCTGGAGGACTGAGGATCTGCAGACATAAGAATGTCACAAACATCTAATAAAAGGACATTATACTGAAACTGTTATACTGACTTATTTATAACCTTTTCCTAAATTTGAAGAGGTTAAAAAGTGTCCAGTTTTTTAATCAGTCTTGGATGTTGAAGGCCTTCTTGAATTCTTCATCAAATAACCGATTGAGTTGTTCGCCCATCGTGAGGAATTCAGCATTATCCTGAAAATGAACAAAACAGTCTTCTTGTTTTTGAAAGTTCTCATATTTAGCTGCTGATGAAAACCTTTCAGTGACATATATGGAAATGATTTTTACTGGCAGCTTCCTACCCGGTTGAACGTGGCACAGTTGGTGAAAATGAGCCGCACATCGGACACGAACTGGCCGACAGTCTGGTATCGGCTCCTCTGGAGTCCGTCTGCTATGAGCTCCAGCCACATCGGAGTCTTGATGAAAGCGGAGTAGTTGTCCAGCTGTGAGCACCAACCAGAAATAGTTTGTTTACATCGACTTTACCGTAACAAAAAAAAAAAAAAAAAAGGCCGGCTGACAGTGTGATTCCTCCGGTAGTCGGACTGCTGTGTGCCCTTTGCTGTCTACAGAATAAATGTGACATTCATGGTCTGGAGGACGTGTGCAGTGAACAGTGGAGGTGGAGACTTACAGAGATCACTGGGTTTTTGGTAAATATCTGGTCCTCATCAGCACTGCATAGACACAGCAGCAGATACTGGCATTCCTGTGGATGGACGTCAAGAGGGAAAGCAGTGAGGCAGGCAGCTCGACCAAGGTGGAAAGAGAGAAAGAAAACTCACCAGCATGTTTGCAGATATCTGGCGGGACAAGACTGGTTCCGTTTCCAGCTGTTCAGAGTAGCGGCACTCTTGATTAGTTGTGAAAACACAGAACGTGCACATCCACAGTCTGTCGTCGCTGTTGCACACAAACACACACCCGTTACTATTCCACAACACTGAGCATGCATGTTGTTTGTTTCTGCTAAAAACTAGACACGTACAAGCTCAGGATAGCATGCAGCACCGTAGCATTTAAATTATTAGTATTAAAAAGGCTGTTGCACCTGACAAATGTCATACGGAAAAAAACAGATGAAAGAACAGATTTGTGTCCACGTGGGTGCAGCGCAGCAATCTGAAACCACTCCCCTCAAATATGATCCATTGTTAAAGTTTATACAGCAAAAGGTTTGTCGTTGACACGTCCAGCAGACATGGGGCAACACGTGGAGTTGTGTTTCAGGTCAAGGTGAATTTTAAGTCCTGTTTTGTTCTCTACCAACTCCTGACAGAAAACATTGGCTACCTAGCTATATATAAACGGCAGAAATCCCACTTGTGGATCTATAACTGCACAAGCCATAAAATAATTCAAAACAGAGCCAACAATAAATCAGCTCAAATCAAATCAATGTTAAAATCAGAAGTGCAGATTTGTAAAATATATAGAACCATCCAGATAGACATTCTTAAATTTCACATCAGATAAAACGACCTTAACTGATCAAAAATATTCCAAAACAAATCCAACAAAGACCAACACACTGGACTGAGGTGGACAGTCGACCCAACATGTTAGGACCAACAAAACTAGCGATAACTACGCTACAGCAGGGCTAGCTAAAAGAATGTACTTAAAGAAAGGCTGCTAGTAATTAAAAACCTCTAAAAGAGTATATTTAGAGTTTGAAAAATAGTTCAAACAGGATGAATACGAGTGGTGGGACTAAACAGAACCAGCAAAGTTGTGTATGGAATGGATCAGTAAAGCTTTGAAGAGAACGTCCAGTAAACAGAACTTCATTATATTCTTTATAGTCACTTATTTTAAATGACTAAGAACTGAAGACCAGGGATAGCTGCTTCTCACCCACTGCCAACAGACACGTGGACAAACTCAGAGTCCGTCTAACTCCTGGCAGGTCTGGAGCTGATGGCAGCACTGTTAACCCTAACCCTGTTACAACAGGGGACATTAGCAATAAGGGCTAAAAGCAGGTCTCGTACCAGGTGTGACAACATTTAAAGTTGAACATTTGAACACTGGAGTCGACAGATGTACTCGCTGTTGAAGCCAGCCTCGGGTGGACCTTCTGCAACCTGCAGCTTCTCACATGTTACTGTAGCTCCTGCCCCAGACGTTGCTGCTGGCTTTCACCGAGCTAAAGCTTAGCAAGTGTCATCAATGTCTCCTCTACATGTAACCTCAGAAACTCTTTGTAGGGTCTCAAGCGAAACAGAAACAGCAAACAGAGGAAAGAAAGTTCAAACAGAACTGGTGTTGAATGGCCTCCCGTCTGCCAGAGCTCACCGCAGATCGCTGGCGTCCACATGAGGCAGGTGGCATTTCGGGTGGAAGGATCGAGGGCAGTGGTCACACATCACCAGCTCGTCTTCTTCTTCTTCTTCTTCTTCTCCGCTTTTACAGATGCAACACTCGTCATCATTTTTCTGATTCTCCTGAAGAGACACACAACATACACCAAGAACATGCTGAGATGGAGAGCAGTTGGACGCTTCATCTTTCCCACCGGAGCGCATTGTGAGAGATGCAGGTTCTGTACGGTTCATGAGCAGCATTCTGAGCGTATAATGACGTGTTCACATTTTACAACTACTAATGTGGGATGAAGGTGTTCTGCTCGTCTGACAAACTTACCAGCGCCGTGGTGTCTTGTTTGCACAGTTTGCATTTACACAGCAGCGAGTGGATCCTCAAGATTTTGGCCTAAAAAAGACAAATTATAAACGTCTTCTTCTTTCCGTAATCAGTGACTTTTGCCCTAACGAATCCTGTGTTTCTCATATTACCTCCTGAGCTACGGCAAATATGAGAGCTAAGACACCATTAATTGGACTAACCGTAGCAGATCCTGGAGGCTAATGAATAAACAAGTCACATCAACATTTAATAAAACCAGATCTCATTTTTGGGACTGGCTATGGTCGACATTTGGCCTCTTTATACAGTCCTTCAGTGCCAGAGTTCCCATTCTGGCCGTACTGTGTGACTGCTGCATCATTTCATGGGCAGCTCTGACCATGACAAACCCAGGGCTGCACAGCTACAGCCAAAATGCTAATCACAGTTGTTTCCATCAGTTTACAACGCTGAAGTCCAGATGTATTCTCTCCTTACTTGTCTGAAGCAGCTTGTTTAAGTTCAGGCTGGTCATCTGTTACTTATCCATGTCACAGTGTAACAGCTGCATAACACCTGGTGAGCAGCTGGTTCAGTGCACCTCTCAATGCTGCCTCGCACATATCCTCCGAGAGTCGCTGTTACAGTACCTACCCATCATCGCCTCGCCTTCACTGGGGCTATGTGAGCATTCAGAGCAGACTGAAATGGGCTTCAGTGGAGGTGCTGCAGTAATGTACGATGTGAGAAAACTACCGTGATTGTATTACAGCATGCAAACATGTCGAACAGACTCCAAAAATGAAACTGGAAAACTGCAAATGAGCACAATACTTTAAATAGAGCACTGCCTCCACTTCATGTCCTGCCCCGATCCAAATTTTTATGCAAATTATACTTTTCATTAATTTTCCTAAACAGTCGATGCAAATGACAGTCAGCATAACTTTCAAGTCATCAGCCGTCAGAGTATAATTCAAATGGTACTGAACAAACCTGCCGATGACAGCAGGACTGTTTTCAAAAATCAAAACCTTAAAATGCACAAAAAGAGTCCAAAACACTTCATAGGCTGTAGAGAACTGAAAATGGTCATTTGCAGCCTGAGGAGGTGATATTTACTGAAACCAAAGCTGTTTCAGTCAAAAACATCCTAACAGGTCGAGCTACAGTTTAACACAGAACCCCTTATTTGAGAGCAGCTTCACAATTCTTGCATCCATTGAACTTGTGAGCTTTTGGAGAGTTTCTGCTTGAATTTCTTTGCAGGATGTCAGATTAGCCTCCCAGAGCTGCTGTTTGGACGTAAACAGCCTCCCACCTTCATAGGTGTTTTGCTTGAGGATGCTCCACAGGTTCTCAGTAGGGCTGAGGTCAGGGGAGGATGGGGGCCACGCCATGAGTTTGTCTCCTTTCATGCCCACAGCAGCCAGTGGTGCAGAGGCATCGCTGCAGCATGAGATGATTATGTAACGAAGAGCACCGTTCTTCTCTTTGTACCATGGAAGAAAGTGGACAGTCAGAAGCTCTACATACTGGTCAGAGTTCATTTTCACACCTCCAGGAACCCTAAAGGGTCCGACCAGCTCTCTGCCCATGATTCCAGCCTAAATGTGACTCCACCACCTCCCTGCTGACGTCACAGCCTTGTTGGGACATGGTGGCCTTCCACCAACGATCCCCTGCTCCGTCCATCTGGACCGTCCAGGGTTGCACGGCACTCATCAGTGAACAAGACTGTCTGAAATCAGTCTTCATGTATTTCTGGGCCCACTGCAGCCGTTTCTGCTTGTGAGCACTGGTTCTGGGCGGCCCAATAGAAGGTTTATGCATCACTGCAAGCCTCTGGAGGATCCTACACCTTGATGTTGGTGGGACTCCAGCAGCTTCAGATACCTGTCTGCTGCTTTGTAACGGCCTTTTAGCAGCTGCTCTCTTAATCCGACATGTTTGTCTGGCAGAAACCTTCCTCACTGTGCCTTTATCTGAAGCAGCCCGTGTGCTCTGAGTCAGACACAAATCTCTTCACAGGACGATGAGCATGCTTTCATATCAAAGGTTTTCATACCTTGTCCAAGACATTCAACTATTTCACGCTGTTGGGCAGCAGAGAGGTCCTTCTTCTTCCACACTTTGCTTGAAAATGGCGGTCACTAATTATCACAGAGTCTGAGACTGATGTCAGTGATCAAAGAGCCCTGAGACACGATACCATCCATGAGTTTGACTGAAAAACTAAAACTGTCATCTGTATGACACTTAGATCCAGTTTGCATAATGACTTGGAAGGCGGTTGATGCTGGACAGTCAGTGAGGTAACGTTTTCCTATTCGCCTTCATGCAGTCGCTGCACTGCAGTTTGTGGTGTTCTCAGTTCATTGTGTTGCTTTGCAGCACAAACACAAACCTCACTTTGCTTCCAAACACCCATCTATCTATCTATCTATCTATCTATCTATCTATCTATCCATCTATCTATCTATCCATCTATCTATCCATCTATCCATCTATCCATCTATCCATCTATCCATCCATCTTATATTGAATTAATGGTGCAGCCCTGCAGCAGTCATCAGGAACCCTGACCCAGGCACAGGAAGGTTAACCCTAACCCTAACCAGCACAACACTTCCAGCATTTGGATCTTTTTACAGTTTTTTCAAGGGAGTTACAGAAAAAACAAGCAGCTGCAGTGAGCTGTTGGATGAAGAGACAGGCAGCGCTGCTCCATGCTCTTGACCAGCTGACCAACTCTCCTGAGCATCAGATCAGTCATCTTCAGTTGACTTCTTTATTAAAGTGTGGACTTGTTTGGATGGTGTTGCATTTCAAGCAAAGGAACTGCTTGAGGAGCTTTTGCTCTGCAAGCAAAGGTGACAAAATAATCTCTGACTTCATCACCTGCCTCTCTCTCAAACTGCATCAGGCAAATACGCAAAAGATGCACAGCTGGCAGATCTCGATGCCATCAGTGATTCACTGGTTACCTTTATGAGAGCACTGAGCGCTTCTCCTTCACACTTGATGTCTTTCCTCCAGGAGGCGTCTGTCTGACACGACGCCTGCTTCGTGAACTCCATCGGCGTCAGCCAGCTCTTCTCGGTGCGAATGCTCTTCCCACAATTCCCTGGGGGGGGCAGCAAGTTTAGAGGAGACATTTCTCTGAATTAAGCTCTCGAAAACAGGAACACAATTCAGTTTAGTTGTGAGATCTGGTCACCTGATGCAAATCGTCTGGGGTGTAAAGTCCCGACTGCAGCTCCACATGTGACTGGAAACACCTTCTGGCTGCCTTCTGGCTGCTGCTCAGACTGATCCTCCGTCTCCTCCTCTTCATCTGGAGAACATGATACAAAACCCACTCATTGCTGTGCTATAACTTGTATGTTGCGGCCATAAATGTACTTAGATCCTTTATATCCATTCCAGCAGCAAGAACCAGAACCCACGGTGAGGCGGCATTGAGCCACCACGGCCTCCACCTGTGGACCAGCCTGCCGGAGAGCCTCAGGACTGCAGAGACCGTCGATAGTTTTAAAAGAAGGTTAAAGACACACCTTTTTAATCAGGCTTTTAATTGAACGTTAATTCTTTTATATTGTTATCATTTATTTATCTTTGTATTTTATCTTTATGTATTTACTCTTTTAACTTTTATTTTATCTTACATAAGGCCTTTTATTCTTAAAGGTTTTAGTTTTATTTCCAGTGTTTCCTTAGGGGGGTCCTCCACACTGGGGGCTGGGTCCAGTCTGCTGCTGGGGGTTCTGTCTGCGGGTCCCTTCGGCCCGGCTGGTTGGGGGGCTCCTCACCTCGTTGTGGGGATCCCCCTGTCTGCCGGGTCGGGGGTCCGGGTGCCGGCGCCCCCAGTAGTCATGGTCTGCAACTCCTCCTGGTGTGGACGGCCCCAATGGTAGCGTTTCCCACAATCCCTCAGTGCCATGCCACGCCCCTTTTAGTCTCGTGGTGAGTGTGTGCGTGCGTGTGTGTGTGTCTGTGTGTGTGTGTGTGTGCGCGACTGTATTTGTTGTATGTGTATGTGTATGCATGGAGGGTGGGAGGGACGGGTTTACTTTATTTTTTAAATGTTGTAAAGAACTTTGCGATTGTTGTTGTTGCACATGAAAAGTGCTGTATAAATAAAATTTGATTGATTGATTGATAATATCACAGCACCTGTGTCACTTTCTTTCTCATCTGAGGGAGACTGATCCTCCTGGTTCCCTTCCTCATCTTCAGCTTCCTCCTCCTCTCTCTCAGACTCTAAACAGATTCAGACAGAACTGTATTGACTAATAAAGATCTTATCAGTCAAAATCAGCGATTGGGAAGCTCATTCTCTGTTGTTTTTTCCAAGTTAATTTAAAACTCAAAATTTCGTAGATACAACTTTGCAAAGGAGGCAGATAAGACTCCTACTCAGGGAAACTGGTCTGCACTGGTGGCCTCTACTCCCATTAGCTGACTTTAGTCTTTTAATGTTTTATGTGATGCCCTGTACAGGCTGCTCTCTCACACGCCCTCAGAAACACTGGTGCAGGTTCTAAAAGCAGTCCCGTGCTCCAACAACAAACCTGTAGCCGAGCAGCTGGATGGAAACAGCCCCCTCTTGGCCTAGCAGGAGGAAAAAAGGAGGATGCAGTTCAGATTAGAAGAAAAATATAAAAAAAGATGCACTGCTGAGTCAGAATTTACCATTTTGTTTTGTATCTTCACTTGCTGTTGTTCTTACCTTTATGCTTCTCCTTTTGTAGCTCACTGCTTTCAGGTGACCTTCCTGCAAAAGAAGGTGACAAAAGATCTCTACAGTAAACTGCAAGTGAAGCACAAACACAGCTAAGTGTGGAGACCAACAGACCTTCATCAGCTTCCCCAGGCAGGTGTCACTACATCGAATGCTCACTTTCCAGTTCCTACAGCTCTCCTTTCCGGCAAACTTCTCAAATTCAGCCGGAGTAAACCACTGCTTCTTCACCAAAATGCATCTCTCTCCTCAAACGTGAAGACAATGAGAGATTCGAATGAGGTTCTTACACACAGGAAGACACATGAAGAGGTCTACGATGGAAACGTCATAAAACATGAGTTGTTATGCAGAGACACAGAAATCCT